TTGTACAAGTTCTAATGGTACAGAATTGAAGAAGGGGCCCAGCCGGGCACCATAAAGAAGTTGAGCTATTGGCTTGGCTTCGAATAATTTGAGTGCTACAAGTGTGTAATGGCCACCTCTTGTCTTAAGGAATTTAAGAATGGCAGATGAGCTCCTCTATGCATTTTCAGCAATGCAGTCCCCATGTGCTTTCCTACTGCTGGCAGAATGAAGGACTACCCCCAGGTATTTGAAACAGGAGACCTGCTCAGTCTTGTGGCCATCTAGGCTCCAGAAACAGCTCTTGGGCCTTTTGGCAAATGCCATGATTTCAGTTTTCTGATAACTGAGTTCTAGCTGGTCTTCCTTGCAGTACTGTGTTAGCGCTCTCAGTGCTCTTTTAAGCCCAATAGGTGTTCTTGGGAGTATTGCAGCATTGTCTGCATAGAGTAGGACAGAGATGTGTCTTCCAGCAAGCTTTGGGGAGTGAAAGTTCATGCTGTGAGTTGATACAGAAATTGAACAAGTCTGGGGCCATCTCCCCATCTAAATGAAGCTGCTTTACAGGCAAGGCCATCTAGGGATTTTAAATGGGATGCCATGTCTCATCAAATAAAGGCTTAATATCAATATAAAGGCATGAAGGGGCTGAACTGGTGCCTGTAGTGATAGGTCCAATAAACTGAAAATTAATCACGACAAGGAGGTGCTGTTCGGGGTAGATGGCCTTCAGGCAATGTAAATGTTTTAGATATGGGTGTACTCCCCTAAAGAAGAAAATGTATAGCATTCATAGATCTAGCTTTGTCACTAGAGCCTCAGGCACCCTCAGTATCTTTACATACTTTCCATCCATTCAAGTTCACCAATTTCTGCTATTTCTGGACAGGGACTAGTGCTAGTAATCTTTCACTTGGATATCTACACAATATAATCTGTGGGGCTGCTGCTGAAAATAATTTAGTGATTTCAATTGCTGCAGAATATAGATGCCAGAATTTTCACCAGTATGACTCCATACAAGGTCATCCATGGTGGTAGGGGTGGCCAAGGGAGGCAAATGACAATGCTGAAAATTCCATGGCTTATACATTTGCACCAGATGTCAGGGCACAAGTACATAAAGGCAGTATTTGCAACATACCATCACATACGTAGTACATAGTGTCATTTCATGTATTCATGGTTTGCTACAGATGCCTCTGGCTACTTTTACATATATACCACTAAACTAAGATAAACACAGAACCTTGGAAACTGTAATAGATATTTCCCAACCTCATTTATATTGAGTTAATTAAAATAGAATCTCTTTAAATACTATGAAATGCTTCCTCCCAGATTTCTACCCACCTGGGCTGAGTTGCTATTTATGAGCTAAGCTGTCAACTGACTGACCTACTCTCTTTTGATTGTTTGTGCTTGTGTTCTCTTACATTGCTTTCCTGCCTCCCTGGAATATCTCTCATCGACCAACCTTGACTGATCTTGAAAAATTAAGCTGGATCAGTTTGTGCTTAGACTTCAGCAGGGTATACAGATTTGATACTTACCCACGGCTTGATAATAAGCTAAGAATCCCTTATAGGAAACCACAATGCCATTCTCCTCATTGGAGAAATCAGACTGAAACAAGAGCCGCATTCGATTGTTGGTGGACAAAAACTCCTTGTCTCTTGGGTGGTTGCCTGTTTCAGACTCCACCTGGCCACAGAACCTGCCTAAGTCCTTCTTGTTTGCTGTGATCTGCCAAGAAGAAGAAGGAGAGAGCATTAGAAACTGGAGAGCTCCTTGGCCAATATCCAAAGGACCTCCACCTAACTTGACATATACATGGGGCTTTGAACTATTATCCCTTAAATGCAATCCATGCAGAAAGCATTTTGCCAATTTGCATTGGAATAAGCGGAATATAGAAAACAAATAGTGATGCAGAAAGCTGGCATGTTGTAGAAGAAGGAAGGAAATCAAAATTCCCTCTAGCAAGCATTTTCTTGCAACTAAAGTAGAATCTGAGCTCAAGCACACACACAAAAAAAAAAGTATGGGGGGGGTTAATAAAGAAAACAAGAAGAAGCTTGTGATGCAAAGCCCAGGGAATACAGTAATATTTGACCTCATAGACCCGGATTCCCATCGCCACAACCTAGCCTCTCTTCACATACCTTGACAAAGTCATATCGGCAGGCCTCAGATGGCTCCAGATCAAACTGCCAGAAATTTAGCTTCACTCTGTAGCCCTTCGGTACTGAAATGTCCCAGGTACTGATGTTGTTGTTGGGGTATCCTTTGGGATAATTTGGGGATGTGACTTCCCCGTAAAGCTTCCTTGTGGTTGGCCTGGAACTGACTGCAGCAACTAAGAAAGCTCCTTGAAGAAGGAGGACAATGGGAGACCTGTGAACACAGCATAGGCATATATGAGAAGACAGAGCAAACAAGGCCTCTGTAATGACACCCCCCCCCACCACAAGACACACAGAGACACATTGAAAATTGAATTGGGCAACATGCACCTTAAGAGAAACTACATCTGTTTCTTTTGTAACATCTTCCCAGTGTTGCAAAACTAGCCTTATGGACTACAACCCTTGTTTTGCCTTTTAACAGAGAAACTTGGATTTCTACAGTGGTAAATGCTATATGCCCAGCCTATCCAGCCTATAGTGGTACAATGATGCTAATCTGGTTGTAAACATCCAAGTGACCACTACAGAGCAGCAAATAGCTACAAAAATCTATTTCTTTGTTGTAGCGGTTGTCTGAACTTTTATAATCCAGATCCTATCCTTGTGCCTATAGACCTTCTAGTGAACTGGGTCTTGTAGTTCCTGATGGAACATGGTGTTTTGATCCCCTCTATTAGAACAGTTCCCTTGTTGATCCAGAAGGTGGGAAAACATTTAACACATAGCAGGACAGTGTATGGTAGCCTTAAAAACTTGGATCCTTCAGAATTGCCAGCAATACCAAGAGTGTCATGAACATTGTCATCTCTGGTGGCCATGCCATGTAGACTAAACTCTCTGCAAAGGTCCTGGAGATAGCAAGGAAAGAATAAAGGCCACCATAGGTCCTTGAGTGCCTTTCAGTTTTGCTTTCACTGCCTGCGAAGTAGCTGCCACTCTGATTTGTTTTCTGTTGCTCTGCAAAGCTCTTCGAAGATCACCAAGTTCTGCTGGAAATGGCTGGGAAGGAACCTGGAGACAAACTGCTAAGTTTAGCCCCAACTCCCTGCCTTCAGTCTACATTGGTAAATCCCTGGCTTCTCAGCTGAAGATGAGCTAAAGGGTCTATTAGCTGAATGAAGAAAAGTACCCACACTGTAGCTGCTAATCCAGTCTGCATCAGGGGGCTGCAGGACTGAAACAAGAATGAGGCATTTTAGCAACACCTTCAGGCTGTATTATCTTCTTCTAAGGCTAAACCTAGCCCTGCAGACCCTCCTCAGGCAGACCGCAGACATTCCATGTCCTTGGACAATGGAGATGTTCTAATACAGATATTGTAACAGAGGAATGCTTGTATGCATTTTAACAAGTAGGCGCCCACGCAACCTCCCCTTCCCACATAAACAACACTCACATGTTCGTAGCTGGGCTTAAGCTCTCTTTTCTCCCACCAGTTCTTGTAGTCTGTTCTTGGGAGTTGCAAACAGATTTCAATAAATTGTTAATCCTGTTAGCTATGATTCATTGAGGCTGGGGTAGCCCATGCGGAGTGGGAGGGAAGAGAGATAGCTGGTAGTTTCCAGTCAATTAGGTAATAATTATGGCTTTCCTAAATTGTGTTCTACTGCCCTCTGCTGTCTTTCTCTCTCTCTCCACACACACACACACACACACACACACACACACACACACAGACTTTTATAAATATGTCCACTTAGAAACAGAGAGAGATATATACATATGTAAGTAGGTACACAGATAGAATGATAGAGGCATTGCTATTATGTAGAACGGTCTTCCTCAACATGATGATGAACAGAAAGATATTGTTGTTATTATTATTAATATTATTAGTAGTTGTCTGGTTTGTATTATAAGTTTCATTTTATTGCTTTTATTGTAGTTTTGTACTATTTCTAAGCTATTTGGAGCTTTTGAGGGGGATTGAATAGCATACTATATATACTGCAGTAAATAAATAAGTGTGTTACTGTATGGCACCTTTTATTTCCCAAGTTTCAGTAAAGCCAAATAAGAAGACTTGAGATG